GCTTCTCTTTGATTAAAGCGTTTGGCGGCTTTGATAAAAGGCCCTTAACTGCTTGTGCCACTCAAGCCCTCGCGGAGATAATGAGGGGGCTGATGGGCCATCGGCCGCGCAGACAAGGGCTCCCTTGGCCGGTCTCCTGCACTTTCGCAAGGGCCAAAAGGGGCCGGGGAGCTTATTACGGGGCAGATAGTCGTCTCTTCTGTGACAATAAGAGGAAGTGAGATAATTGGGGGATTGAGGGAAACCACCCATGGAGACACCACTTAGCGGGAATCCCAAAACTGGAAGGAAACCTCTGTTGATTCCTTATCGCCTTACAATGCGGAGGCGAATGATGAATTGCCCTGCGGTGCGGGGACGCGCAGCGCTCGGAGATTGTCCAAAGGGTTTGTTGCCGTTCGGGGCAGCTTGTTTTGGTTAGGGTTTGCAGAGGGGAAGAGGGGCGGTGAAAGCTCAGCTCCCGGGGCAAAGGAGCGCTGGGGATGGATCACAGGCTGAGGGATGCCAGGGATGAGTGGGACTTGGCATCGTGAGCAGCGGGGTTTTGCAGCAGCCCAGTTGTGTCCCAGCACCTCACATCCATCACTAAAGGGGTAAGACAGGTCCCACACCCCATCTCTGACCTAGGGGACGTTCTGCTTCTCCTTATTCCCTACCTTACATCTAGCTCAAGTCTAGCATCACCGTTTCCAATCCCAGCTCCAACACACTCTGTGTGACCACAAGTGTCACCTGGTCAGCTGGAGGAGGCAGAAAATGACACCTCTGTTTTCCACTGTTTAGCTCAGACTCAGGAAACCCCCAGAACGTCTCAACTTCTACAGCTTCACATAGAAACCTGTACACAGCACACGTGCCCCTACAACATTCAGGAGATTCACCAAGGACAGGAGGGAGATTTCCACTGCCCTCCTGCCTCCTCTGCCAGCACTTCCCAGCATCCCCTACCTTAGACTGTGTGTCTGCACATCCCCGTGCCCCGGGGTTACGTTACTAAAAATAATGCCATGTGTCTGACTGATAGGACCGTGCAGGGAAGCAGGAGGGGATCTGCTGTGGGGAGAGGCTACCAGGCTGGAGAAATGCTTGGTGCACTCAAATGCCATGGTACTTGCTGACTTCTGTGAGCTTTCCCAGTGCAACGTAGACTAAATCCTGAGAAAAGGGAATAGGGGTCAGCAGTAACCACGTCCTGTCACTCCTTGTTGCATTCAGCCCTGGAAATTCCCTATTTTCTTCGGAGTACCTGGAGCAGAGCTGATCTGAGGCTTTTGCTACCTCAGCCCTGCAAGTGTTTGTGCATCTGAGCATTCCCCTGGCTTTGGGAGAGGGAGGGAGAGACCACAAACCACTCGCTCCTGCCCCAAACAATTATCCCGTCGCTATCACAGGGCTCTTCACGCCAGGACGAGCTGAGCAGTCAGTGTAAAGCCCTCACAGTTTGATCCCTCCAGCTCTGTCAAAGCAGGTCAGTCGCACCAGAGGGGAAGGAACATGGATATCATGATTTTCAATCCCAGGCACCGTTCATTAGAACGAGTGGAATTGCTTTCTGCAGACTGAAAACTCTCTCCCAGCTGTGAGACCCCGAGCTGAAAACTGTGCAAAAGGCAAAGTGTCAAGGCATCTCCACTTGGAGATTAACCCTGTCTGAGGGGCTATGGAGGCAGATAAGTCATCTTTATCTCTGGCACCAGCTATCTTTCCAAATGTGGATTCACCGTGGGTGAAAGGCACTGCCACCCCTCCAGGCAGCCCAGCAGTGGATTTTAGGCTAATGAGGGTGAGGGGAGTCTCCCAGCCCACCTCCAGCACACAACCCTCATCCCTCACTCATCCCCAAGTGTCAGGCTGGGACAAGGATCAGGAAAGGAGGCTGACAGTCACGTCAGGAGGGGGAAAGCACAGAGCAGGGAGCAGCCAAGGCCTGACCTTTTCTCTTGGTGCAGTGGTAGATCTGGCTGTGCTCCTGGGAGATCGGGTAGGGGTTGGCAGGCGGTAGCAGGTCCTGGGAGGTGCTGGACACCCCGTTCTCACACTGGTACTGGGAGCCCAGGTTGGAGGAGGCAGAAAGGACCCTGGTCTCGCCACTGAACGGGCTGTGATTCGAGGACACTTTTTGTCTCACTGTGCTCCTGGGGACAACCGGGTACTCTTTACTAAAAGCAAAGAAACGGAAAATAAAAACAAGTCAGGAAAAGCAATCAATTAATAAATAGATCAGTGGATTAATAAGTGAAGGCAGCACATTAGTGTCATGGTGATTGTTCAGGCTTTCAAGGAAACAGAAACATCCCTCTCAAGAGACTGCAGTCCCATCACACTTTGTCCACACAGCACTCATTATTCCCCTCCCTTTTAGTACCTTTCCCTTTAGATTTGTGCCTCTTCCACCACAACTGCTATTTTACATCCATGCTTGAAATAGATATATGCAGTTACAGCAAAAACACACAAGATTTATATTTACATATTATAGATTTACAAACTCCATACTGTTTATAATGTGGATGTGGATGTGCACGTGCATGTAAATAGAAACCTCATTTCTGCCAAGTCGACCTGGAGGTGGATTAAATATTTGGGTCTATTTTTTTTTCCCCCTTATGGTAGTTGTCCCCATTCCTTTCCCCCAGGGTCTCTCAGCTTCGTTGTCCTGGATGGGGGATCCCTGGACCACAGAACAAGCTCCACTCCAGAGTGCTCAGAAAAGAGGAATAAATAAATCACCAAGATTTAATGCACAGCAGAGCCACAGCCTCAGCAGAGCCAGGCTGGCAGGGTGAGCCCTAATGGCAAGTCTGGATTGTTCCCTTGCTCTGAGCTCTGGTTTGAAGTGGGGATGCTTTGTCAACACTGGTTGGAAATCCTCTCTTCTACGAGACCCTACAGTGTGTTTTGGAGACATTTCTCCAAGCACATAAACAATGTGGCTGGACAAGATTATTCTTGCTCTGCAGGGGGAAGAACTGAAGCTGAGTAGGGGGTTTCAGAGCCTTCAGGAGAGGTACAAGCCTCCTCCTGGGCTGTCTCTAAAACTGCTGGGTGTTCCCTGAACAAAAAGACTTGCAAAAAAGCATGAAGATCAGGTAGCACAGCAGCACCTCCCAAAGTGTCACCTGGCTCAGAGCAGCCACAAACCAGAGCCCACATTCCAGCACAAGGTTTCTCCTTTGAGGCTGTAACCATTGGGCCAAGCTGGCTGGGAGGGACCCTACCCACCTGCCCAAAATCATTATGCTGGAGCAAGGACATATCCTTAAATCCCATCACCTGGCTCACCTGGCCAGTTACACCAGGAGGAAGAGCCCAGAATTTCTGATTACACCCCTCAGAGAGGACCTATCGCCGTAGAGTTCAGAACTTATTTACAAAATTTAACAATAGCAATTATATAAACCTACTCACAGCGGGGAGCTTTCATCCAAACCACTGCTGTGGTGGCTGCCAGAAACATCAGCAACCGAGCTGTAATGGAGGGGAAACTCACCCAGGAGCTCAAAACCAAAGAAATGTGTCTCTCATTGTGCCATGGAAGCTCTCCAAACCCCGGGCACTGGTGGCTTGCCAAGGAAAGCCTATTCCAAAGGTGGGGTATCATCCCCTGGAAGCCCAGCAGCTCCTCCCAGCAGGAGCGTGGCTTCCCACCCACTTGGCCTGGCTGGTCAGGCAGTGTTTTCCCAGAACTGAAGTCCAGGCTGTGAATGAGGAACAAAAGAGAGATGGACTGGGAGGAAAAAGAGACTTATCCCTTGGATACACAAGATAACAGTGGATGCCAGGGTATGGGTGGGCTTCAGAGGACCTGTGGACACCCAGCACTTAAATCTCCACCCCAGGAGCTCTTGCTGGAGGGCAGCTTTGGTGGCTTCTCAGGAAGGTCAACAGCCATGGCCAGCAAACCTCCAGGTGACCCTCAAACCTTCTGGGTTCCAGGGGATCTCCCAGGTTATGGCTTTGAGCTGCCTGTTCCTGTCACACTCCACCTTCTCACAGTGATTCTCGTGGGAACAGCACTAACACAACACCCCAGAGCTGCATCCCCACCACATTTCCCATCTAAGGAGACAACCCACAGGGAGGTGACATGTGGAGCGTGGTCTTAACTCTACCCCCTAATGAGAAGATGCTGCATGGATTGGCTGGTTCCTTCTTCCTCAGCTCCAACACTCCAACATCCCATTCTCAAAGAAATGACAGAGTCCCCTTTTCTTTGCCCAGTGAGGCACCTGTGGGCTACAGTGAAGGACAAGAAAGGACATGCCATGGCATGATGCCACATCAGGTTCTCTGTGGGTTTTTTGGAGGATGTAGAGATGACTGCTTTCAGTCTCTCCCTGCTTCATGGGGGGAAGAATTGGATGTCTCTTTGCCACATGGGATTAGATCTGCATGGTAAACCACGAATTCTCACAGCAGCTCAGAGGGACCCCATCAGCATCAGCCCCTCACTGTGCAAAGCACCACACAAACAGAAGGAAACTGTCCCCATCCCTGATGCTTCTCACCTAAATCAACACTTTTTCAACGGAGAGCTGAGAGGGGAGAAAAAATAACAACCCAACTGCTTCTTCCTTGGTGAAAATATATTTTCACAGACTCACTGAGGTCAGAAGAGACCTTCAAGATCATCAGGTCCAACCTGTGAGCCATCCCCACCTTGTCAACCAGCCCAGGGCACTGAGTGCCACATCCAGTCATTCCTTAAACACCTCCAGGGATGGAGGCTCCACCACTTCCAGCCCCTTCCAGTGCCTGACCACCCTTTCAGTGAAGAAATTCTTCTTCATGCCCAAGCTGAACCCCAACTGCTTCCTTTCCATAAAAAAAGCTGCCTGGAAGAGGGATATCTTTATCCCAAGTGCCGGAGCACAGGTGGAGTCAGGATCCCACTCCCTCCTTGTGCACTGGGAACCAAATTCCTTTCATTCCTTTTCCAGGGAACACAACAGCCTCTGTGGCCATCAGTGGTGTTCTGTGGGACATGGCAGGAGCTGGGAGTCACTCTGGAGAGGCAACAGGTCGGAGACACCACGTTTCCAAACAGCAGTTCCCAGGAGGTATCGCAATAACCTCCCTCCAGACTGAAATATTTCCATTTCAGTCAAAACATGCCGGGTGCTATTTTTGCCAAAAAATCAACTATTTGAGGAGGGAGACGAAGGAAAGTATTTTCTAACTAAATAGCTAAAATAGTCTTTCCTTCACTTTGCCCTTTTTTCTACCCAAAAGGGCGGTTATCTCTGTATTTCTACGTATTGTTCCTTACAACAACTGAGCTCTAATAAAGAGGTATCTTTGGTACCTGGTAAAGCAACAGTCATCTCAAAACATTTATGCTGTTTCCTGAGCCCACTCAACATGCAGTGTACACACTTACCACTTTTAAATACCAAAGGACAAAATAAAATGGATCAGAATCTTTTTTTTTCTCCCCTAAAAATCGTTATTCCTGAAATAGGTGGTTGTAATCCTGGGCTACAGTTTAAATGGAATGAAAGGTTTTGTTCATTGCTGGCACAAAACGACTGTTTTGCCCAGAAATTTTGCTGTCCAAAAAAAAATTGTAGCAATGCAGGAAGGGAAAATACAGGCAATATAGAAAATTATCTACACAGCAAGGAAGAGGTTGCTGCTCCTGCACCAGAATGTGAGTTAATTTTACAGGGGGGTGTTAATAGGCTACACTTTTTTTTTTGCATTAAATTTGTGCAAAAATTAGAAGGAAGAAAAAGAAACTTGGTTGGAAAAAAAAAGTTTACAAGGAAGGAAGCTGTCCCTGGTCTATTTAAAGCCTGTTGGAGCTAATTAAGAAGATTTAGGTACTGTAGTTGGTATTACAATAGCAGAGGGGACAGGGAGGAAGGGGGAGCCACACAAGAGTCTCTGCATCACCAAGTTCCCAGGTGAGGCCACCAGGAGAGAATATTACTTCAATTTTCGTTAAACTTAGGGAAAAGAAATCAAGGATGAGGTCCAAGACCGTAGTGAAGGCACTCAGTCCTGAGGTCTGGGCTCGGTTCTTAACTCCCACCCAGCCAAAGGTTTCCCAGACCCACAGGATTGGACACCAGCTCTGCATAACTTTGCTAATAGCACATGAATTCCACCTAAAGCTCATCATCCAACCCCGACCCTACAGGTTGGGCCTCACAAGTGAACCCCTCCTGCATTTCCCAAGCACTTCCATCCAAATCAGACCTCTGCCAGGTGGAATTAGGAGGCTCACTCTCTTTTTCTCACATGGCATTCTTCCCCTTCCCCTGGTCAAACGATTCCCTCGCCATGACAGAGCTCCATAAGATCACCTGTGCCACAAATTCACACCTAGCCAAAAATTCCAGGGAGCAAATTCAAGGTGACTCTGTAATCTCAGAACCAGAAACCTTGTTTGCCTCTGCAAACTAATCAAAACTGAAGAAAAATTACACATATAGACCTTCACAGGGTGTCCACTTTCTTGCTTATTGCCACATTGTGAGGGAGCAATGATTTTCAAAGGGTTTTCATGGGCAGACTAGAAGTTTCCTAATGTTCCAGCCAATGCATAGTAAATGCAACTGCCAGGCAAAAAAACTTATTAAAAGTCTTTTACAGATGCACAGTTTATAACCAGGAAGCTTCTGTATTGAAGCATCCAACCCCTACTGGCCCTAGGCAAGTTATTTTAGAAGAGGTTTCTGATATTTCTGTGACATTATATACCAAGGCTTTCCAAAGCTGCTGTAGGTGATGGCAACAAGGCTTCAAAAGACTTATTAAATATCAGATCATACTGATATCTGTTCAAGGTTAAGATGAATCATGACATGGAAAAGGATTTCCCCATGCTTAGTTGCTTCCATGTTCTAACAGCATCCTTTGAAGCCCTTGAGCTGGCCAGATCCTGCTCACAACATCAAATCTGAGTCTAAAATCTGATCTAAGGTCTATCTGTAGCTCTTTCCAAATTTCCAGGAGATTTTAACTCCTCCTTGGTCAGTCACTACGAAAGGACAAATGTTTGCTGTCCTGTCAGTCCCACCCCCTCCACCCACCCAGCCCAGTGGTGCAGAATCAACCCCCAGTTCCAGATGTGCAAACACAACTCAGTGGCTTTGGGGTTCATATTTCCCAGGCCACCCATTGTTGTCCTTCCTGCTGAGGCTCAAGAGTAGGA